TTTCCTCCCCGCGCCCACACGCGAGGAAACAAAAAAAAAAAAAAAAAAAAACTTTAAACCGCAGGTGACAGCTGTATAGCTGCCCGATTGCTTGTATGCTGCGTGAAAGTAAGCACCCCCCCTCCGCTAACCCGTACTCCATATTCCCTGGGCATGGCAGCTCTCTGTACTGAGATCAACACACTTACACCTGCTAATCTCCCCTCCGATCACTGAATGTGGAGGGGAGATCAGCAGGCCTTCAGCCCGTCATTTCTTTGGCTGCTTTAGCCAGAGAAGAAGCTGTTGAAGCAGATCTGCATCATCAGCTTCATTGGGGGTCTCTATGTGACATTAGAGGTCTAATAGATGCAGATGTCTCCATAAAGAGAACCCGTCACTGTATATTTGCAATAAAGATAGTAATAAAGTTAAGTGTGTTAAAAAAAATTATAAAACAGCAGAAAGGCATCATGGCACACTCACAAAACCAGCATGTAAAACAACATGTCTCACCACTAAGGATAATGACAGAGGTTTGGATACACGTCTTCAGCCGTTTTGTGAGTGTGCCATGATGCCTTTCTGCTGTTTTACTATTCAAAGCCCATTTCGTGTGCACCTTACTGTATAACTGGTAACAAATTGTTGAGTGCGTTTGTCGTTTGTTTTGCTTAAAAAAATTATAGTCGGGGGCGGGGCTTGCCAATGGCGGTGACTGGACGTGTTCGTCCTTAGCTCCGTAACACCGGACCGGGCATCGGCGTTAAAGTGCCTCACCGCCGCACACCATGGGCTCCAAAAGAGGCAAAAAGTCGCAGGGCTCCAAGCCGGACCGCGCGCGGACACCGAGAGCCGCCATATCCAGCTTCTTTGCGGCCCCGGCGGCCACGCGATCTGCTGGCGCTGCAGGCCGTACGGCGGCCCCACGTGGAGTCTCCCCAGAAGGCACTGACTCACCCTCCTCCCAGCCAGCCGACATGTCCCCCGTTCTGGCGGATCCAGAGGCCTCCTCTGACGAGGATTCAATACAGGAGGGCTCCACAGGGGATGTCCGGCGTCTGCTGGACCACCTCCCTTCCAAAAGGGATATGGAGGCCCTGTTTGCTAGGTTTGAGCATGTGCACAGGACGGACGTGGCGGGCCTGCATGACGCTATCAAGGGGGTCCACAAACGCCTGGATACAGTGGATTCACATCTGGATACCCATCGCATGGCCATCAATGCACTACAAGCCACAGCTTTAAACCAACATAAGCTGCTGCAGTCTGTGTGGATGCACATGGATGATGCTGAAGATAGGAATCGAAGGAACAACGTTAGAATTCGCGGCCTTCCGGAGGCGACAGGGACGGCGGACCTGGAACCCACCATCAGAGGTATCTTTAACTCACTACTTGATAGGGGAGCGACAGATCCTATCGAACTTGACAGGGTGCATCGAGTCCCGGGATACCGCAACCCTGCGTCGCAACAACCTAGGGATGTCCTGTGTCGGGTCCACTTCTATAAACTGATGGAGGAAATTATGTCCAAGGCCCGGGAACGGGGATCCATTGACTTTGACGGTGCAACCATTACCTTCTTCCCTGACCTGTCGCCCCGGACCATGGCTCGCCGCAGGGCTTTGCGGCCTCTCACAGCGTCCCTGCAAGACCTTCACATCCCTTACAGATGGGGTTACCCTTTCCAACTGTCAGTGCGTCACAATGGTCGCCTGGTGATTCTTCGCTCCCCGACTGATCTGGCAGGATTTACTGCAGCACTGGGACTCCCCGCAGTTGAATTGGATCCATGGCCGGACCCTCCGGCTCCCGTGCTTCCTGAGGTGCCCTCACTGCCCCAATGGACTGAAGTTTCCCATTCTAAGAAGTCACGGAAAGATTATGCCACTCGCAGCTCTCTACCATAATGAGGATGGATGGATGTCTCTGCTTCAACCTTGCGTGAGGATTTCGTTATCTCTTTACCTGGCTCTCTCTTTGGTGTTTTTCGTTCCCGTATTTTTTGCTATTGTTTTGCCTCTGGTAACATTTTGGATGGAAGAATCCCCCGGTACCTTGATGCCCTGTGGATCACAGTTCTCCTTTACCCTGGCGGATGCCCTGGCAGTTTGACGTTGTTTGCTGAACCCTGGGACCTGCCCTTGTTACTGGGATCCCTCTGTTGACTCGACCCCACGAGTCCTTGGGCACGCGGAGAGCCCCCTATGGGGGTGATCCCCTGGATACACGCATCCTTGCCGCCTACACACCAGAGGAAATAGCGTTCTACCAGAAGTCCTGGGATCCCCCCCTGAACTGTGGGACTGTACCTCCGTCTGTGACCCAGGAAGGAAGATTCAACTCGGGTGATATGCTGCCTTACTGTTGCCTGTTGAATGTGTTGCATTATGTGCTGTTCCTTTGCTCCCCTGGGATTTGCCGGCTGGGAACGGGGCCCATACACCTCCCTATAGTGCCTGAGAGGGATGGCCCCCTGGTAGCCTCTCTCTGTACCCGAGTGTAGGTAGCGGGACGCCTGTACTACTTTTACTGTGTAACATTTGGTATGCTGTCTTTACGGTGCACATGGAATAGCTACTAGGACCCGCTCCCATTCCCTGCTTCCCCTCCCCCAAAAATTATGGCCCTATACAGAGGTGTTCTCATTTCCCACGCCTCTAGACTAAAAAAAGGCACGTTCGGCGGACATCACTGCCCTATTGAGCGACATCCATGGGCTTGAACTCAGTCATAAGTCTTCCCGTGACGCCTCCATATTATTGACCCTGGAGCAGAAACGCGTAGAACTTCGATCCCTGCTTGATCTCAGCTTTCTTAAATACAGGGAATCTTTGCGTAGATCGCTGTATGAACACGGGGACAAGTGTGGACGTCTCTTGGCACGCTCCGTCCGAACACAACTTGCCCGCACATATATCCCTAAAATTCAAACGAAAGATGCCCAGGTGGTTCACCGTACCGATCAAATTGCGCACGCTTTTCAGACTTACTATGCCGATCTATATAACCTGCCCGTGCCGGGGGCATCCTTACCATCCCCGGACCTCACAGACGATGCGGCTTCCTATATTGCAGCCACCCCTCTCCCAACCCTCCCACCTGAGGCCATTGCCCTCATTACGGAACCATTCTCGGTAGAGGAAGTATCTGCCGCCACCACTTTTAACTCTGTGTCGGCCAACTGCCCCTTCACCAAGCAGTCACAGGAGGCTCATATAACTATAATCCCTAAAGCAGATAAGGACCCTACTCTTTGCTCCAACTATCGCCCGATCTCTCTCATCAATGTGGATCTCAAATTATATGCGAAACTCCTTGCAACTCGCCTCAGCCACTACATTCCCTCCTTGATCCATTTGGATCAGGTAGGGTTCGTCCCATTCCGTGAGGCCAGGGACAATACTATCAAGTCCCTGACGCTCATAAAAAAAAATTATAGTCACATATAAAAAATTTAAAAAAACTTGCCCCCAAGTACATACAAAGGTAAAAATATAGTTTGGGTGCGCCTACCTGCGAAAATGACGCACCCTATTACCGCAAACAGAGTGTGAGAAATAATTCTAGGGCCAACAATCACTGTTAACCCTAAACTGAGGAGCAGTAAATGCTTTTAAAGCGCAGCCAATACGGCCAATTTTAGGTATTGCCGTTTCTTGCAATTTCACAGGAGTGCACAATTTTAAGGCTTGACATGTTTGGTGTCTATTTAGGTGACGTAACCCCGTCTTTAATATTTTACAAAAATTGGGTACTAATAAATGCCTCATAATATAACGCAGTGAAAAAAATGGTTTTATTTTTTTAAGAAAATAAGGTGATTAAATACCACCAAAAGAAAGCCCTGTCTCCAAAAAAATGACATATAAAATGTATTTCAGTACAGCAAAACTAAATGTCAAAGTACTGCAGTGGTGAATACTGAAAAATGGCCTGGCTAGGAAGCCAGGCAATTAACAAAAAACGGGGAATTAACACCCCCCCCCCCGGTCATAAAGTGGTTAAATACTTTACTTCCACATTTCCACAAAAATATGTTGTCAGTAAAGAAAGAGGAAAAAGTGAAAATTTTTCAGCAATGTACAAGCACATCCACAGGATCTAAGCATTTTAAAGTACTTGGTATAAGAGCGGACCGCAGACCAAAACTCATCATTCTTCTGCTTCAGCCTGGTCAGAGATAAACAATGCCCTTCAGAAAATAGGGAATTCTACGTATGCAGTGTGACTCTCTAGGCTAGAACAGTAAAGCATGCAGGTCTCTATTATACTGTATTTTAGGCTCCATTCTTCTAAGACACCACACGAGCCCCAGGCCAAGGTGAACCAAGGAGAATGCAGAGTTTTGGTCTGAAGTCCATGTTATTTATGAATACATTAGGGAAGGTAATAAAGGGTCAGTAAGGAGATTGTCCTGGTAGTTTCTGTCCCAATAACAATTAAAAAAAGATTTGATAGTACTTACTCTGTGTCAATGGTCCAAGTTTGAAACCATATTTCTTCATATGGTCCAGAACAACTTGCTTGTTTTCCTCTCTTCCCCAAAAACTCAGGTTCACTGGCATAGTAAAGGCATTATGAGCCCCATACGGCACAATACTAAAATATAATGTATAAAGATCAATATAGAACAATTCACTTAAACAAGATCGACACTATTGTGTTTTGGCAATATTGTCTTGCAAAAAAAATATATTTATTTTCTATGCAATCTACAAACAACAAAATGTAACAAAACAAGACAACCCAACAAGTTTGACAAGTGTTAATTTTGAAACAACTGTTACATTCAAGTACCTTAAAGTGACATTAAACCTTCAGATTTTTTAACATAAAACAATACTGTAATGTGCGCCTTACTGTAATCCATGGTTGTTTCCCTTCTCTTTGCTGCTCTTCCTTTTAAATCTGTATCTGTTCTCATGCTTGGGGAGAACTTCTGTTTTGCAGCAGACTGCCTTGTCTCAGGAATGGATACACGGTGTCTGTGTATACGTTTGTATAGGCTTGTAACCTGAGCCAGCACTACAGGAAGAGGCCCTGAGCTGAAAAGGGAAGTTCTCCCCAAGCATGAGAAGACATGAGGATTTAAAAGGAAGAGCAGCAAAGAGAAGGGAAACTACCATGGATTACAGTAAGGCACACATTACAGTATTGGTTTATGTAAAAAAATCTGAGGGTTTAATGTCACTTTAACTATTAATAAAAATGTCTCTTATTTGTGTATCACTCGGCTGTAGATCCTCAAATCATCTCTGAATCGGTGCCGACACTGTCCTTCCTTGTGGTGGGTGGCTAAGTTTGTTCCCCATGGTCCCTGTGTGTGTTGTAAAGTATCCACTGCTCCAAGCTCACTCCTGTGATGGACTACAATCTCATGTTTAGTTCACTAATTTGTATTGAGATTGTAGTCTATCAGAGGAGTAAGCTTGAAGTGGTGACTACTTTACAACACACACAGGGACCATAGGGAAGAAAAGTAGCCACCCTCCAGAAGGAAGGACAATGTCAGCATCAATTCAGAGATGATTTGAGGATCTACTGTCGAGTGATACACAAATAAATTTTTTGTTAATAGTTGAGGAACTTGAATGTATTTTTAAGATTTAACTTCCCAGTTTAGTGTCACTTTAACCATTTCAATGTGTGGGACAAGTCACTGGCAGGAAAAGGGTTGACTTAAGAGTTAACTGCGGGTTAATAAGCAATACCATCCATTTATTTATTTTTTACTTGCAATGTATGTACCCTCAGACAGTCTATTGGTAGCGCTAGCCCTGCAAAGACATCCCATAAAGCAGCGCTCCAAAACTAATAGGAGATCTGTGATATCCATGTAACAGGTCACACCAATTATCTCAGAAGCATTTAGAAAAAAGGAAGACCATCAGCTACTAGTGCTGTATATGTGAAGCCGCTAGCAATGATACCCCAAATAGTTTACTGTGGAGTAGGGATGAGCCGAGTGTTCGATTCGAACATCGGCAGTTCGAGTGTTTACCAAACTTTATGGGATGTTCGCGGTTTGTTCGACCGCGGACATTCCATAAGGCCAAATGCCCTCTGAAGCTCTGATTTGTTAAAGTCTTGCACCTGACCACAAGTCAGGTGCAAGACTTTGCCCAATCAGGGCTCAGTATTGAATTAGAGCCATGATCAGGTGCAAGACTTTGCCCAATCAGGGCTCAGTATTGAATTAGAGCCATGATTGGGCAAAGTCATGATGACTCTGCCCAATCATGGCCTGCCTATCAGATGTCGGTAAACTACACAATTGGGCGCCCAATTGTGTATGTTTTTCCGGCATCCGTCAAAATGCCATTATGCAGCGGGGAGCAGATGGGATGGCGGCCAGCCGGTTTTCTTATTTATTATTATTTCTCTTTATTTTTTATTGTTTTATTTTGTCGTCGTCGTGGACAACGATGGACGCCGTGATTGACCCTGGATTATGTCGGTGGATAATTTTTTTTTTTTTTTTAAATAAAAGACTTGTCAAAAACATGTCTTCCATCCGGTCCGGGCAATGTCTGTGCACTGAGAATGGAGGGAGATCACGACCCGATCTCCCTCGGCTCTCCTCCCAGTCTCTGAATGCAGGAAGTGATGTATATTACATCACTTCCGCATTCCTCTGTCACTCTCAGGTACAGAAACTGGAGAGAAGCTGATGAAGCAGATCTGTGCTTCATCAGCTTCTCTGGGGGTCCCTAGGTGACATTAGGGGTCTTAGAGACCCCTGATGTCTCCATAAAGGGGACCAGTCACTGCAATTTGTAATCACATAGGGTACTTCTTAGCACCCTATGTGATAACAATAAAGTGTAAAAAAAAAAATTGCTCACAAAATAAATAAAAATGTACACACACAAAAGCAAAAAAATTTTTTTTCAAGTTCCCCACCACCACATAGATGCGCAAAAATGACGATTGCTCCAATTATGCCGCACGTGTTACATATCACCGCGAATGTCGCAATGAGAGCAATAATTTTAGGGCCATCAATCACTAATAACACTAAACTGATGAGCGGTAAAATCTTTTAAAGCGTCGCCTCTGACCAATTTTGGCTATGGTGTTGTTTTGCGATTTCGCAGGCGCGCGCAATGTTAAGGCTTGACATGTTTGGTGTCTATTTACCCGACTTTTATATTTTAGCAAAAAATTGGGTAAAAATAAATGTTTCCTAAAATAATAAAGGGAAAACCATTTTTTTTAATATTCAGTACTTTTTTTGTTATATAGTAAAAAATAAAAACCGCAGTGGTGATTAAATACCACCAAAAGAAAGCTCTATGTGTCCCTATTGTGTCTATGTGGCTCTATTGTATAAAATTCATTTCAGTATAGCATTGCATGACGGAATAAACGTGAGCCAAAATACCACAGCGTTGAATACTGAAAAATGGCCTGGTCAGGAAGGGGGTTTATAAACAACCCGGTCAGCAAGTGGTTAAAAACAGTATTTTTTTTTTTTTTGGCATTGATTCATGTCCCCCAGGGCAGTACCCAGACCCCCATACACCTTTTATGACCAATAACTTGCATATAAGCCCTCCTAAAGGGGACATTCATTTTTGAATGTTCGACCCCCATTGACTTCCATTGAGTTCGAATTCAAACTTTTCGGCCGTTTAAATGTTCGAATACTAACCAAACACGGGGTTGTTCGGCTCATCACTACTGTTTAGCTCACACTAAACATATCCAGAATTTGGGAAAAGAATTACCATCATCTTCTGAATCCCAATATGTAAAGCCACAGGCATTGATACCCCACATCTATTACCATGGAGCACCCCAATACAAGGACACCCCCCTCCATAGATCTTCACTAAAGATAGCATAACTAACAGCACTGACCGCCAGTGTAACAAAAGTATTCACAATGACTGCCAATGTAACGAAAGTATTCACAATGACCGCCAATGTAACGAAAGTATTCACAATGACCGCCAATGTAACAAAAGTATTCGCACTGATCGCCAACGTAACGAAAGTGATCATAATGACCGCCAATGTAATGAGGTATCTAGGTCCTGGTATATATGTAACAAATAAGTCAAAGCAACTGGACTTGCTGTATTTTTCTTGAAAACGTTTCACTGGTCATCCAGTCTTCTTTCTTCCTTAGCATAGGCAATTTGCATATGAATTAGCCACAATATTTACATATGAAATGGTTGTGGCTTATTAATAGGCAAATTACCGCAACCCATTCATATGCTAATATCTCGGCCAGGACAGTGCAGGAAGTGCACCAGCAAGCTCCGGAGAGAGCTGGGTGAGGACTTGTTTTTCTGCCATCCCCCACCAGCGCCCTCATGCGCCTGCTTGTGTCGCCTGTATAGTAGCGTCGGCTCTGACAGTAAGCTACTGTGATACACATCAAATTCCGGATTGCAAAAAACAGGGGAAAAGAGGATCAGAGCATGCCACACAAGCCTGAGGTATTTTGATGTTTTTTTAGGGCATGTAGATAAACCGTAGTTTTTGAGGTCAGGAAAACCATATGGTGAATGTGTCAGGTCAGACCCCAACGTTTGACAGGATCTCTGAATGGAAAGACTACAAGTCTAATCAGTCACCGCAGCAAAGGGACATGTTCTTAATGGAATATACGTGCGGTAACATCACCCTACGTGTAGTCCATTCATTCTTTCTCTTGTCCATGTCCGTACCTCAGTACAGAGATTCAGTAACATGGACAGGAAGAAGAAGTGTGGACTACAAGTGCAGTGCCGTCACCGCACTTGTATTCCATTGAGGAAGACTAAGCAGGAGCCACATCATTGCACCACGATTCACTGATCACGGTTGCAATGTTTTAACGGCTCCAGTAAAAAAAATAGAAGTGCATGTTTTCTTTTATGAAGTAGTGTACATATTTTTTTTTCTAAATGGTGGAATTTCCCTTTAACACCAGTGATCCCAGTGGAACTCCAATCAGTTAAATACATAACAAATATAATTATTATGGCAGATAAATCTATTCATGTATTCATAATTGTTTTCAACTCTAGCCCTGGGACACATACTCACCCTTCAAGCTTTGCTAACTTTCTGTCCATAATCTGGGCCAAAGCTGCAGCCAGTTCTTTCTTTATATGACCGACCTGTTCTCCATTAACATTGTTCACCTTGACTGCATTTCTGTCATATTGGTTGCTGGGTTCACGCATATCCAGAATTTGGGAAAAGAATTACCATCATCTTCTGAATCCCAATATGTAAAGCCACAGGCATTGATACCCCACATCTATTACCATGGAGCACCCCAATACAAGGACACCCCCCTCCATAGATCTTCACTAAAGATAGCATAACTAACAGCACTGACCGCCAGTGTAACAAAAGTATTCACAATGACTGCCAATGTAACGAAAGTATTCACAATGACCGCCAATGTAACGAAAGTATTCACAATGACCGCCAATGTAACAAAAGTATTCGCACTGATCGCCAACGTAACGAAAGTGATCATAATGACCGCCAATGTAATGAGGTATCTAGGTCCTGGTATATATGTAACAAATAAGTCAAAGCAACTGGACTTGCTGTATTTTTCTTGAAAACGTTTCACTGGTCATCCAGTCTTCTTTCTTCCTTAGCATAGGCAATTTGCATATGAATTAGCCACAATATTTACATATGAAATGGTTGTGGCTTATTAATAGGCAAATTACCGCAACCCATTCATATGCTAATATCTCGGCCAGGACAGTGCAGGAAGTGCACCAGCAAGCTCCGGAGAGAGCTGGGTGAGGACTTGTTTTTCTGCCATCCCCCACCAGCGCCCTCATGCGCCTGCTTGTGTCGCCTGTATAGTAGCGTCGGCTCTGACAGTAAGCTACTGTGATACACATCAAATTCCGGATTGCAAAAAACAGGGGAAAAGAGGATCAGAGCATGCCACACAAGCCTGAGGTATTTTGATGTTTTTTTAGGGCATGTAGATAAACCGTAGTTTTTGAGGTCAGGAAAACCATATGGTGAATGTGTCAGGTCAGACCCCAACGTTTGACAGGATCTCTGAATGGAAAGACTACAAGTCTAATCAGTCACCGCAGCAAAGGGACATGTTCTTAATGGAATATACGTGCGGTAACATCACCCTACGTGTAGTCCATTCATTCTTTCTCTTGTCCATGTCCGTACCTCAGTACAGAGATTCAGTAACATGGACAGGAAGAAGAAGTGTGGACTACAAGTGCAGTGCCGTCACCGCACTTGTATTCCATTGAGGAAGACTAAGCAGGAGCCACATCATTGCACCACGATTCACTGATCACGGTTGCAATGTTTTAACGGCTCCAGTAAAAAAAATAGAAGTGCATGTTTTCTTTTATGAAGTAGTGTACATATTTTTTTTTCTAAATGGTGGAATTTCCCTTTAACACCAGTGATCCCAGTGGAACTCCAATCAGTTAAATACATAACAAATATAATTATTATGGCAGATAAATCTATTCATGTATTCATAATTGTTTTCAACTCTAGCCCTGGGACACATACTCACCCTTCAAGCTTTGCTAACTTTCTGTCCATAATCTGGGCCAAAGCTGCAGCCAGTTCTTTCTTTATATGACCGACCTGTTCTCCATTAACATTGTTCACCTTGACTGCATTTCTGTCATATTGGTTGCTGGGTTCACGCTGAAGTGCAACCATCTCGTTATTGTTAACCTGAAAATACCAATATGTTATGTCTGTGAAGGTTCTCATTCATCCAGGTCATGGTATATCTGTAACAAAGAAGCCAAGGCAACTGGACGTGCTGTATTTTTCTTGAAGACGTTTCACTGGTCATCCAACCAGCTTCATCAATTCCGAATGACTTGTACAAAAATTATCTGGGAATAAATATGGTTTATGTGGATTGTCGCTCCAATCCACATAATCGGTTAGTCACAACCAGGTGTTGATTGTATTTGCATAATTGGAGTCTAGGAGGTGTTTTTAACCTGCCCAGTAAGAGGTGTTAAAACAGCATAGATGTCTCACCCCCCCGCCCCCTCTATTCATGCTTGTATGTATATTTAAAAAAAAAAAAAGGAATCCCAGAGCACTATGGATAAGCTAAATAGACAGCACAGAGAATGCAGTTAACTTTGAGGCTGTGGTTTGTCTGAATGAAACCGGATATGGAGTCGTCTGATAAGGGATACTGTAAACAAATGGGGTTCTTACAGAAAAGACAGAAACAAAACATACTGCTAATGATATGAAAAGGGGCTGTATGCTCTACCTGTTGTCTAAATAGAAGTCTCCATGATACAGTAATACCTCAATTCACGAATGTTTCTGTTCGCAAACAATTCGGTTCACAAACAGGAAGTTCAGCAAAGTTTTGCTTCTGTTCGCGAACTCCAAATCGGGTGACGAACACGACCATCTTCCCCGCTCTGACACAGGGTCGTGGCTTCCTCTAGTCGAGATCGCGGTCGCAGGCAGACCTGTGCACACTTGCTGTGAAGATTTTTTTGTGTGCTTTGTAGCACATACAGTAGTGTACAGTACTATTCAATCCAGCATGGCTCCAAAGAAAGTGCAGTGCGAGCATAGTGGTAAAAAGAAAGTGCAGAGTGGTAATGAATTTACATGTGGTTCAGAACGGATTAACCTTATTTACATTGGACCTTATGGGGAAATTTGAATCGTGGAACCAATTAACTTTGTGAACTGAGGTACCACTGTATATATATCCAATATTTTATATTCAGCTATAAAAGAGAACATTTTTCTTTTGTTTAAGTCCTGACCACTGTATACAAAAAAGGAAGATGTTCTGCTGTCTAATTTGTTTACATTTACAAAGTCCTGAACGCATTCAGTAAGGACAGGAACAAACTACAAAATCAAGACAAGGGGGTCAGTGTCTTTGTCCGGCTAGATTATAGTGAATTAGGCTCCATTCTTGCCTATATATTTTAGGTTGATTAGGGATTCCTGCATCAGTAACTTGCAATTTCCTGCAGCAGGAATCCCTAATCTGCTATTCACAAGCGGCAGCTGTCACCTATTTAAGTTTATGTTCAGGTGACAGCGGCTGCATTACATGCGGTTGGTAATCAATCACACTCCCTGGACGCACAATCAATGCATCTCAGTTTTGTAAAGCTCTGCGCAAACTGTTGGCGGTATATAAATCCTGTATAATAATAATAATGCAACCAGGGAGAGTGATTGATTCCTAACCAATTGTAATCATATGTCTAATTGCACCTAAAATATAAATGTGAATGGGACCTAATGCCCACTGACACAATTATATTGTAGTACTTACTAATGTGCAGAATGTCAACACTGCACCACCCCAAACAGGCTGCACAAAGCAAATCACACTTGAAAAGGTTCCCATTTATACCTAATGTTTGGCAGTAAATTCATCTCCCGGTTCCAGCCCTGGTTTACTACACTTGTTCTTTACTCTAACCATGTTATATTCTTCAGTAAATGACATGACACTTACCACCCCAGTATAATAACGCAAGCCAACCACATTCCCTCTCAACATTCCAAACAAAACGGAGGAATCAAAATCTTCCTCTGCGGAGGAGGAATCATTAGTCGATGGCAGGTTGTCTGGCTCCGGGTCAAAAAAAAGATTTGAAGACGAATACTGACTTCCGCTCCTGCCATGCTGATTGGCCAGGAACTGTCTCACGGCAAAGTCTCTACAAAACAAAAATGCTGTAGTGAGGAAGCTTTCATAAACAGGATAATGAATACCAGTATCTAATAACAAGATTCTGTTCCTATAGATATTGGTGCATCACACCCCCTCTCTTTCTCACTTTTACATATTGTACAGAGAGGAAAGTCGGCCCCCCCACTATACACATTAATGAGGTTTGGTAGGGAATGATGTATAATCGTTCTGCCCAGAGAATAGTTGGGCGAATGCCGATCGTACAGAATTCCCACCACTAGATTGCGCCCCAGGCGCACAGAAATTTCCTATGCTCCTCAGCTCCATTTAGCGGCAGGGATGCTATGTGAACGGCATTCACCCAGCTACTCACTGGACAGAACAGTTATCTGCCTCTTAAAGTGGAACTTTATTTTGGGAAAAAAAAACTACTGCCAGGAAGGCTTTTTATTGTAGAAGGAACATGCTACATACAGTATGTCTCTCCCCCAATAAAGAGCTCTTTTTCTGCCTATCAGCAATTTTTCTGCGCATGCTCAGCTCAGTGTATATTCTGGGCATACATTGGTGAAAGGGATGAATTAACTCCCGTACAAATACACAGGATTTATGTCATCCTGGGCCAGCCAATTAAGATGACTGAAGTTGCCAAATCCGAAAGACCGAATATAGATGTTGGCACTGGCCTCCTCTCTGACATGGAGTGGAGTATATCGGGCTTTAGTTACACTTTAAGGGCTCATTCACACCAGATGTATATCTGCATTACACCCCCCTGCACACCATACACTAGCTTGCATATGTTATATGGAGAATAACATGAAGCTGCCAAATCCAGAAGACTGTGTAAAGAAGTCAGCACTGGTAAGGGAGCTATAAGGAAAATAACATGTGCCGGCCAGTGTGAACGTGCCCCAAGTGTTATCAAGGAGGTTATACAGATGTGTCCCCTGCACTCCTTACAGCATTCACAACCTTGGATTTAAAAGAGGTGCTCGCAGTGATGATCACGGATGTCGCCATGCATGTCAAACTTCTATAGGAAGATCACTAGCACTCAGACGATTTTGTCAAATCCTTGTGCTCATTCAGGGGTGTGGAAATTTAAAAAAAACTCCTACTTGTCCAAGGGATAAAGCGGGGGGGCGAATCTACTTGTCCCTCATGACAATATACTTGTTCCAATACAAAAAAACAAACAGTTTTAATCAAAACGAAGGATGCACCTGTACCGGTAATCCGGTATCGAATATAAGTACTGATATTTTGCTTTCGGTGCTCGCCAGTATGGATACCGGTGCTTCCGCTGGCATGGAGCCGGCTTCTCGGGCAATCAGGAAGCCGGGCAGGGAAGCCAGCTCCATCTTGATTGGCTGGGAAGCCGGTTTCACGGCCAATCACAATCAGCATCGAGCCGGCTTCCCCGCAAATCAGGAAGCAGGGCAGCGAGTAATGGCCAGGAAGCCGCCTCGATGCCGATTGGCTGGGAAGCTGGCTTCCCGGCCAAATCAGCAAGGAGATGGCTTCCCAGGCCAATCAGGAAACCGAGAGGTGGGTCATTACTTGCCGCCCGCTTCCCGATTGCACGGGAAGCTGGCTCTATGTTCTCCTACGGCACTGCCGGTCAGAGGAAATCTTAAATACAAGTACTCACCCAAATACTAGGCATCGGTGCATCCCTAATCAAAACCGTATTTGACTGTGCTAAATAGTGCTTCTCATTGGTCAGTGTGGTCACCTGACCAATGAGTGCTTGCAATTTGCGAGCGAAATAAAAAAATTCATAGAGCAGGACTGCAACAGGCTGAGGGTAAGGACTGTTCGCCGCAGGGTAAGTGTGCCCGGGGGGAGGGAGGGAGGGGGGGTTGGGAGAGACGGGGTCAGATTGGATTGGGTAATTCCATTTTCCCATATTACCTGTGAAAGTGAACGTACCCTTTAATGCACATTTTGTGTGTAGGAGAGTTCTGCTGCCTGTGTACCACAATATGGCACACAGTGGAATGGCAACGCATACACACAATGTCCTACGCATGCGTTTAATTACATGCAGATGGTGGGGGGTTGGTTTTAATGTTTTTTTTACTTTATCACTTATTTTTTACATTTTCATATATTTTACTTTTTTTTTATGTATTATTTTTACTTTTCACTTAAAAGCCCCTATGTGATAGTTTGGAGGTGACAGGTCCCCTTTATGGAACCTGCCCTTCAACAAAGAACAAATGTTCTGTGCAGTTCCTGACAGCCAAGACAGGTGGCGCTGTGCTTACAGCGCTCCGGTCTCAGTGATCACACAGAGCAGACGAAGAACGGACGTGCATTCTTCGCTCTGCTCTACATTTTCTATCCTGAGCTTATGTGCCGTGGTCCCGGGTCCCCCAGAGGAGCGAGGGGTCCCTGAAAACCATGGCGGGACACACACACAACATCGCTGCTTGTTTGATAGAAGCTCCCCGCTGAAGCAGGGCTAAATGTACTGTACAAAAAAGCCTACCCGCCCGGCGCCCGAAACTGCATGTCCCGGGCGTCGGGCGATACGAATTCCACACCTGCCATTTGATATGAAACAGTGTCACATAAATCAATATAGCCAAATATTGATATTTGTCTGTTTTATTATAAATGAACACAAGGATTTGTGATCTTCCTCCTATACAACCAAGGAGGTTATAACATGTTCATCCTTGTGACTATAATGCAGAGAATGCATTCCTATGAGCTGGAGGTCATTCTTTTTTAATTTGTCGCAGTCACATTGAGAAAGTGAAATAAATAAGAACTGAGTGTGTCACATGTCAGATCTATTAATGGAATTGTTGCAAGGTTGACTCAGGTACAGGACTTTCTACTGCACCCATATCACCACAAAAGTGTTGTAAATGCTTTATTGAATGGCAGCCATAGTGTGTTGCAGGTCACTGAGGTGCACTGTGGTGGTGTGTTGGGAAGCATTCAAAATGAAAGGCTCAACAATGCACATATTGGGGGGATTTATAAAAACTGGAGCACTTGGCACAAAGCATATGTCATATTCTGTCATGGGCGAGATGCACCCTGCAGCGAGCAATATTAGTGATCAATACTATAGCAAACAAATATAAACAATTGTGTCGCGCTCTAAACTGAATAAGATCCACAACTTGGAATATAAACACTCCCCACACAATGGAAACCTATACATAAGTGTATGAAATAAAGGGTGGGATTTAGAAATGGTGTGTACAGGCAAAGGCGCAGTGGAGACCGGTGTGAGAAGATTCCAAGAACGTCCGCCGCGAATAGAATTTCATTGCTAGCGGTGATCTGTTTTAGGTCGGTAGTATTTTAATAAAATCCTGTTTATATCTACAGCGCGCACTATGGTATCCGTTTTATCCTTTGTATGATTACTGATACAATGGGGTAAAGTAACTGCATAGCATTTGCAAGTGAAGGTGAAATCCCGCCAGCCTTAGGGCAAAAAAATAAAATAGAGATGGCCTGTATTGGAGCTTTGGAATAAGGTCTGAGTCAGGGGCGTGTAATCAAAGGTGAAGGCTTTTCTGGTGTAGTCCTGATGGTTGTGAAGGGATGATGGAAATCCTATACTGACTGACACATGGCTCAGTTGGATGAGTATTGGATTTGGATACGGACTGAAAACTAATTAATTGACTTTGATGATCACTGAAACATTACACGTGCCTTTATTTTATACACATATTTCACTTATTTATAGGTCTTCATGGTGTGAGGGGTTCATTCCATAATTGAGTTTAGAGCATGGCACAATTGCTTAAAGTAGTTGCCTGCGACAACCAATCAGCGTCTCTCTTCAGTTTGTTCATCTAAGCTTTGAAACTGAAACAGAAAGGCTGATTGGTTGTCATTTTGTCTGACCCAATTTTTATGAGCCCCCCCCCCTCATTGCGTGCTACCGCAACGCGCTAGTATGAATGAGACATTGGGGGTAAGAGGAAGAGCGGTAACAGAGAATAATTAGAGTTCTCCTTTCATTTACAATGTGCCAACATCAATGAATGGACAAACAATACAATCGCCTCTAGCAGCCGGATTTCACTGTAGAGGGCCCAACAACCCGCCTGGCTACCATACACTACACACCGCCATGACATATGTGCCCGCTACCGGGTGGTAGGGATGGAGCGATGGCTATAAATATCCAACCACACTCAGTACAGCGATGCATTACCTCCAGGACATGCTGGAACGTGCCACCACAAAGGGTTAACTTCGCAGCCCCAATCACAGTCCCGACAACCGGGCCTCCAAATTCCCGCCCTGCCAACCACATACACTTCCGGTTCCCAGCACAAAGCGCGACCAATGAGCACATGACAAAGCTAGCCAATAGATCCTCCGTAAGCAAGAAGTCGTCCTATGAGAAAGCGGCGGGTGCGGCTCCTGTAGTTAGCTCGGTTTGGGGGTGGAGCTAAACAGCTCACATGTCGGGCTGGGCGTGGCTCTCTCGGTTTGTGGGGTGGAGCTATGGCTGCACTTCTATTAGGCTGGGCTTGGTTCGCTTGTTTTGGGGTGGAGCTATAGTTGCTCACATGTCGGACTGGGCGTGGTTGTGTTTACTTGTGTCCTATGTGTGCTGTCACACGGAGCTGTCAGGTTGCTGCTGCGTGTAACAGTAGGTGACACACTGGAGAACGTACATCTGTTGTATGTTGGGGTCTCACCAGGCTGGTGAGACCCCACATAGCCAGGTTAGACCCCTTGGAGGCCTGGTGAGACCCTACGGAGCCCTCGTGCTGGCGAGAACCCACAGCGCCCTGGTGAGACCCCACAGAGCCTCGCTACCCTGGTGAGACCGCACATAGCCATGCTGAGATCCCACAGAGCCCTTGTGAGACCCTACGGAGCCTGCTGGTGAGACCCCATCTCACCCTGGTGAGATCAGACACTGTGGGGTCTCACCAGGGCTCTGAGGGGTCTTACCAGGGTGGTGAGACCCCACATAGCCCAGGCGAGACCCTGCGGAGCCTAGGCAAGACCCTGCAGAGCCCTGGTGAGACCCTGCAGAGCTCTGGTTTAATCAGGGCTCTGTGGGGTCTAACCAGGCTGGGGAGACCCCACATAGCCCTGTGCTGGGGAGACCCTTCAGAGCCCAGGTGAGACCCTACAGGTTTAACCAGGGCTTTGTGGGGTCTCATCAGGGCTCTTTGGTGTCTCACCAGAGCTCTGTGGGTCTAACAAGGCTGGTTAGACCCCACAGAGCCTTGGTGAGGCTCCACAGAGCCCTGATGCCCTGGTGAGACCCCAGAGTGTTTTACAGAGCCCTGGTGCTGGTGAGAACCTACAAAGCCCTGGTGAGACCCTGCTGAGCCCTGGTTTTACCAGTGCTTTCTTGCGGTCTCACTGGGGTTCTTTGGGGTCCCACCAGGGCTCTGAGGGGTCTCACCAGGCTGGTGAGACCCTACAGAGCCCTGGTGCTGGTGAGACCCTACAGAGTCATGATTTAACCAGGCCTCTGTGGGGTCTCACCAAGGCTCTGTGAGGTCTCACCAGCCCTGTTTAAACCCCACAGAGCCCTGGTGAGACCTGACAGAGCCCGGGTAGGGCTCTTTCGGATTTCACCAGGGCTCTGTGGGGTCTAACCAAGCTGGTTAGACCCTACAGAGCACTGACGAGACCCTACAGAGCCCTGGGGCTCTGTGGGATCTCACCAGGGCTCTGTGGAGTATAACAAGGCTGGTTAGACCCCCACAGAACCCTAGTGAGACCCCACATGGGCCTGCTACCACAGAACCTTGATGAGACCCCTGGTGAAATTCTACAGAGCCCTGGTTTAACCAGGGCTCTGTAGGGTCTCACCAGGGCTCTGAGGGGTCTAACCAGGCTGTTTAGACCCCCACAGAGCCCTAGTGAGACCCCACATGGGCCTGCTACCCTGGTGAGATCCCTGGTGAAATTCTACAGAGCCCTGGTTTAACCAGGGCTCTGTAGGGTCTCACCAGGGCTCTGAGGGGTCTAACCAGGCTGGCAAGACCCCACATAGCCCTGGTGAGACCCTACGGAGCCCTGGTGCTGGTGAGACCCCATGGAGCCCTGGTGAGACCCTACAGAGGCTTGGTTTAACCAGGGCTCTGTGGGGTCTCGCCAGGGTACTGAGAGGTCTTACCAGGGCTCTGTGGGTCTACCAAGGCTGGTTAGAACCCACAGCGCCCACAGAGCCCTGGTGAGACCCTACAGAGCCTTGGTTTAACCAGGGTTCTGTGGATCTCACCAGGGCCCTGAGGGGTCTAACCAGGCTGGTGAGACGGCACATAGCCATGGTGAGACCCCACAGAGCCCTGGTGAGATCCTACGGAGCCCTGGTGCTGGTTTAACCAGGGCACTGTGGGTCTCACCAGGGCTCTGAGAGGGTCTTACCAGGGTGGTGAGACCCCACATAGCCCAGGTGGGACCCTGCGGAGCCCTGGTTTAATCAGGGCTCTGTGGGGTCTAACCAGGCTGGTGAGACCCCACATAGCCCTGGAGCTGGTGATACCCTACAGGTTTAACCAGGGCTTTGTGGGGTCTCACCAGGGCTCTTTGGTGTCTACCCAGAGGTCTGTGGGGTCTCCCTGGGGCTCTGTGGGTCTAACAAGCCTGGTTAGACCCCACAGAGCCTTGGTGAGGCTCCAAAGAGCCCCGATGCCCCGGTGAGACCCCAAAGAGCTTTACAGAGTCCTGGTGCTGATGAGAACCTACAGAGACCTGGTAAAACCCTGCTGAGCCCTGGTTTTACCAGTGCTTCTTGAGGTCTCACTAGGGGTCTGAGGGGTCTAACCAGGCTGGCGAGACCCCACATAGCCCTGGTGAGACCCTACAGAGCCCTTGTTCTGGTGAGACTCTACAGAGCCCTGGTTTAACCAGGCCTCTGTGGGGTCTCACCAGGGCTGTTTAAACCCCACAGAGCCCTGTTGGGACCCTACAAAGCCCTGGTGAGACCCTCTAGAGATTCTTTGGGATCTCACCAGGGTTCTGTGGGGTCTAACCAAGCTGGTTAGACCCTACAGAGCACTGGCGAGACCCTACATAGCCCTGGTGAGACCCCACAGAGCCCTGGTTAAATCAGGGCTTTGTAGGTCCTCACCAGGGCTCTGTGGGGTTTAACCAGGACTGGTGAGACCCCACAGAACCATAGTTTAACCAGGGCTCTTTAGGGGTCTCCCCAGGGCTCTGTGGGGTCTCACCAGACTGGTTAAACCCCACAGAGCCCTGGTGAGACACCACAGGCCTGTGTAAGGCCTCATGTTTAGGTTTCGCCTAAGGCCTCGCAAACTCTAAAGCCGCCTCTGGTGGAAGTGTTCACTGTCTGCCAAGAGCTGTGTCAGCCGCTGTGCAGCTTTAACACACTTGGGAAAGTGCTTCAAATGCATTACAGTGAAGTAGGTAAGAACCGTCTGGGACAGTTGTGTAGTAATGACATTTGTTTTAGATGTTCTTCCCCCTATCAGGTCATTAGATTACTACATGTACTTGTATCAAGTAATACTCTCTTTTTTTCTGGTCCTCCTTTATGGCACACTCACACCACGTGCCCTGGGTTGAGTTGGGCCCAACATAACGATGAGCCGAAATCCATTATTTCCAACAGGCCCAATTCACACCAGTATGCTGGATTGGTGTGCGCTGGACAAAGTGGGACAGGCTGCGTTAAAACACTGAGCGAGCTGTGACACGGCGCTGTGACAAGTATTAAAATGATACTAAACTCAGTAGTCAAACCTTAAAAATGCATTCAAGACTAGGACTTAGGGCTTACAGTGCGTTCCAGCGCGGTTAGCTGCTGGAACGCACTGTATCACACACCAAGCTCCCACCTGCGTTCTAGGGCAGGAGGTGGAGTGGTGGTGCATTGAAGTCAATGGCCCCGCAACCACGCCCTCCGCTCGCAGTGCGATCACCCGCATCGGAACGTGGGCACAACAATGCCTGCGTTCCAATCCAGTGAGATCACAAAAAATAGTGCATGCCCCAGAACGCAGGGGAAGTTAAGTATGCAATACAGCCACAGTGCTTTCCAGCAGCTAACTGCGCTGAAACACAATGTAAGTGAAGTGAACAAGCCCTAAGTGATTGGCCGAAACATGTCGGAGAGGGTGGACATTCGGCAGGACACCAGTGATTTGGAATAAGCTTCAATAAATTATCCCAATGGAATCCGGTGTGCGGCCAGCTTTTGTTCTGTTTGTGTAGGAGGTTTTTTCAGGTTGAATGAAAAAAAATTAGATTTCTCCATCCATGCCAAACAACATGGATAGAGGAATCTCCTGCTGCGGCTATTGTATTTTGACAATCGGCCCCACTGGCTGTCAAAATACCTGAACGGTACCTGCATCTGATTTGATGCAAACGCTGTATGGCTGACAATTTTCAGCCTGGGTTCTTCGATTTGTCAGCTGTCTCAGGTTTGAAGGGCTCCATCTCCAGTCTGCATGTTTCAGCTCTTTCGATAGATGGTTGGTAGGATTCAGATTAGGACTCATAGAAGGCCACCTCCAAAATACTTTAATGTTTTTGTTCTTAAGTTTAACCATTCTTGGGTGCTTTTAGCTGTGTGTTTTGGATCATTATCCTGTTGGAGAACCAATTACCTGTGATTAAGAAAAGACCTTTCTGACATTGGGCAGTATGTTTAGAAGAACTCCGGCATAACCTTTATTATCCCTTGCAGTGGGGCTGCACACTTCTTTTCTGCTACAGAAATTAAAATTAGCCAATTTTCAGCCTGGCTCCTTCGATCCTTCAGCTGTCTCAGGTTTGTAGGTTACTTTCTCCAGACTGCATTTGTAATATGTATTTTATATCCATCTCATGTTCTTGTCCTTCAGGAGATAATTTGGTTACCATCGAAGAGAAAAATAACATTTCCTCTCTGCGGACATATGTGAACTGGAGATGCCAGTCTACAGGGAGCTCCCGTGTCAGTGTGCGAATGGTCGGTCTCCAATTAGATACCCTCCCTCCTACCGCGGCCAAAGACCAGATGGAGATTATAGAGATGCCTCTCTCTGAGAATCCTCTCCGTCTCTCATGTTGTCCTGTGCGTGGAGATCTCCTGGTTGGATGCAAGAGCAAGCTAGTGGTTTTTAGCATGAAGTTCATCTCCGTTCATGGCATACCAGTGTTAGATTTTGACAGATCGCTGGTTTTACACGTTTCTGGAATTGTGCCAACTGAGGTGTATTTTTGTGCCAACTTTGTCAGCATAATGAGTGAGCTAGAAGTTCTTGTGTTTAGACTGACATCTGAATACCAAGAGGCATTGCCAGATATATCCACTGCTATTCGGGATGTGGGAAAACTGCCAGAGAAAGGTAACACATTCAAGACTGTGGATGTTTTATTTACGGCACTGTAATGTACTAGAAGTTTTATAACTGTCACACGTCAGACATAGACATTATAACTGTCACACGTCGACTCTATTGATCAGGAAGTGAGCGAAAACATACCGCAGATCTGCTCACTTCCCGACCATCTCCCTGCAAAGAGGGGTGACTGTCAGTCACTGCTCCCCGCAAGGATTCCCCCCTCAGATTCTCCAGCGTTGACAGCAATAATTGACAGGGGTGGGGGCAGGCACAGCTGGCTCTGCCTCTAGAAAGGCAGAGCCAGCTGTCAATCAGCCAGCTAGGTGGACCTTGGCTCCGTCCTGGCTGCGGCGATCTCCGCATATAGCGGGTATTAGCCCGCTATATACTGAGTTGTGGGTCATGGGAGGACACAGTATATGTCCTCCTGTGACCCAAAAGAGAACTATGGAAAAAAAAAAACATAGTTGCCCCATAGTTCTTCTTTAACATCTCTCAGAGGGGTGCCTGTGCAGGGGATATGTAAAAAAACAAACATCCTCCCATTTAACAGCCAGGGTCCCATCGGGAAACATTGTGTCAGCTCTGATATAGTGATCACATGGAGGCTGGGGGCTTTACTGATAAAAATAAAAGCCTGCAGATAAACACTGACACCTTCAGAAAAAATGTAAATGAACCCCGTGCCAAATGTGCAACCTAGCAGCAACACGAAAATAAAAAAAAATGAATGCTAAAGTGTGTCGTGCTCTAAAACCAACTACAAATAACATAAATAATGAATGCTAAAATGATATCACAAAACATGTGAACTAATAAAATTGTTCAAAACAACCTAATTCATCATGTGATCCACTAACAGGTATAAAATAATCCACTAACAGGTATAAAATATAGTGATAACATCAAAAACCGTAATGCTGAATGATTAACTTGACTCATAAATATAAGGGTGAATTCTTAGGCATGGCAATCAATGACAATTGCTAAATACATTGATAAATAAATAACGCAAGCTATATATCAAAGTCCAAAAGTGAACCAAATATCTTTAATATGAATGTCCAAAAAGTGGTGATCCAAAATTTCAAAGCTCCTTAAGGGGAGTAAAATAACACTTGTGCCACCCTTATATCCACCTGTGTCTGATACTTCACCCCACCTTTACATTAGGCCTTCTAATGGGCCAAGAAGAGCAGCACCCCGTTTCACCCTGGCAGGGGTTATTCACACAAACTCAGAACAGGCAACCTGACTCCAGCGTTTCCTAATCCACTTCAGAGGTATATTTACTCGAATTTCATAGATAAAAAAACAGGCATATCATAGCACATACCATTTGAAGCATTGTGGACTTTTATTGACGAATGGTATTCACATAGATGAAGATCCAAAAAGATCCCTTGTAATAGAAGTAACAGATATGCAGAGATCTTTCCACAGTCCCGGGCGCGTCAGCATGTAATAACTCCACCTCACGTTGAGCCGGTGTTCTATCAAAGATTGTGACAGCGGTGGAATGTGTGACCGGTCACGTGGTCACACATTTTCACGTAATCACACCCACTTTTTCCGGGGTTAAAATATGTGACCAGCAAAAGGTATAGAATTCAAAGCTATCTCAGCTGTTCCAGGACAGATCGGCATTGCAGATGTAAGTGTAGGAGAACCGATCTGCCCTGGAACAGCTGATCGTTCCTGAAATCTCACTTCTATCCGACCTTGTGAAATGTTAGATTGCACCCAACAGAGTCAGATAGAAGTGACATTTCCGGACCGATCAGCTGTTCCAGGGCAGATAGGTTCTCCAATAATGTGCCTTGCGATCCCGTGCGGCCGATCTCATTGTGGCCGGAGGGCGTGTCAACGGTGCCATTCACTTGAATGGCCCGCCACGCCCCCTTCTGCCACACTAAAAAGTGAGTTGGCCGCAATGCAAGGCAGTGCGTTCTGGCCATAATCGGGCCGGAACGCACTGCATCTAGTGTGAACGGGCCCTTAAGGTTTTATACTTTCTCTTACCCTTTTCTTTTTGTTCCTCGCCACAACTACCCTGTTTCAACGAAAATAAAACCTACCCCGAAAATAAGACCTAGTACTATTTTTGGGAATTGCTAAAATATAAGACCTACCCCAAAAATAAGACCTAGTTGTGATCATTCCCAGGGCCGGTGGTGGCATAAGGGGGGACTTGAAGAGCCGCGGGAGAGGCAGGAGAGAATCAGCGGTGCCAACGAAGCCAGCGCTAGAAGAAGTGAGGCGGCACCGGAGGGAGCAGAGCGGCAAATGCCGATGCTTCCTCTATAGCGCCGCCTCCTGTCACAGGCGGAGTGATACCAAATGCACTCCGCTTGTGAGGAATCTATAGTGAAAGTGCGCTTCGCTCATTCTGGCCAGCGATTGGATAGCAAATAGCTCTTGGAAAGGTACGGCTGCCCTGATCACCATATTTTTGTACATGAATAAGTGTGGATTGTTGTACATTAACGCAAATAAGACCTAGTGTGTTTTTTGAGCCAAAAAAAATATAAGACAGTGTCTTATTTTCGGGGAAACACGGTATGTACATGTTTCAGGATGATATTTGCTAGCTGAGAATCTTTATCTGTTCTTCTTTTTGGTACTCCCGAGTCTCACAATTGTCTATTTGTTTTCTATTCGGGTAAATGTGCACTGCTTATGTACGTTTTTTTTTTTTTTATTACTGCTCTTGATTGTTCCACTATGTTTTTGTCGTGTTTATCAAATTGTTTATAAAAGGTTTCAATAAAAAATGATCCAATTTAAAAAAAAAAGAAAAAAAGGCGCTCGCTGTCAGAATACAATGCAAAGCAGCAGGGGATTCCTCCATCCATGCTCAAAACGCTGATGGAGGAATCCGTTATATTTTCTTTGTTCAGCCCGCAAGTTGAATTAGAAAAAATATATATATAACCCTGTATACCCAGCCTAAGAGGGGTTTATACCAACAGCTGCTGTTTTGTTATGTTATGTTATGTTGAATGCTGTGTCAATTTTGAATACCAGTATTACCAGTGAATATGTGGTCTTGTTGGTCCAGTATTGAAACTTTCTAAGGACTAGTATTCAATCAATCAGCGTGTAAAACCGTAACTATATTTTTGGACAGATAACAGCAGGTTTGATTTAATATATTGAATAAATAAACATATACTGTCAGCACGACATTATTTCAACATTAACACTTTACCTAAATGACATTATTTATTACATAAGAAAACAAGGATTACTTCAGGAATGTGAATGGAGTATTTTAAATATTTTATGTCATTGATGATATTTATATGTTTCTAACAAAAAGAATTAAAATGTGCTTGTTTTTTCAATTGTTTTTTTGAACGTTCATATGTAGTAGTTTATTTACTGAGGAGATTGTTTTATATGAAAAAAAAACTTCAAAAATGTGAGGGGAAATTCCAAAATTTTGGAGTACCCAGAGCAAGAAGCGAGGAAAAATCCTCCAATGTAGGGGGAGACCTATTCCTGTGACAACTCCTAGAGATGGTAATTCTATTCACTTTGAAGAGATTGTCTCTCATTCCCTGTTGTCTCCCCAGGACAGCAAATGAAAGAATATCTCCATGGCAGAACAAAAGCTTGTCAGGTGTTTTAACCTTTTCCTTCTCCATCTTAATTTTTTTTTTTTTTAAAGTACATACATTTGAAGAAATGATGCATGTCTTACTTTGGAACTAGACATACATTTCTGTTCCAATATTTTTTTATTAACAGTTTTCAAAGAACAAGTAAAAAATTTACAATACACATCGTGCAAGTCATGGGGCACAACCATTGGTTCAACTCCATAACAGGACCAAAAACAGAATATAAGCTTGACGGGGCATAATTAAAAAATGACATAAGAAAATCATCAATGTAATCACAAACTGCATAACATTTGCTTAGAGAGAGATAATACAATGGCTAATGGCAATGATACTAAAGACGATAGGACACAAAACTCCTATGCATTTGCACAATGGCAACAAAAACATTCAGAAAAATCTAATTATAAATGTCAGTGAAAAAACAGATTGGCAACAAACCTGTGCTATGACGCCCCACCCGTGCTATGCGAGTGATTGGCCCCACCAAGGGTTAAAGTGCAAAATACATATATGTAAATAAAAAAGAAAGTCAGGAAACACAAAGAAGAGTAAGAAGACACGGAAGAATAAAGAAAAGAAAAAAGAAAAGAGGTAAAAAAAAAGTCGTTGGATCAATGCCTACGAGGAGATGGTGGCAACACATCCACCAGATGTGCAACATGTCCCCTTTGGTAGAACAGCCTCTAAAACAGGTATCAGGACAAGATGGGTTCACATGTGCAATCCACAAGGAGACCATATACCATTGCATCATAACCTTGTAAACTTCAAAATTACTTACATATAAAGGAACATTTTGTCAGATCAGACCAGATCCTCTCCCAATCCTCCTCGCATTTATTCAACTGAAGATCTGATTCCCATTTTCCCACATACTTGTTGTAAATGTGCATACAGGGTAGACATTAGCTTGGGGCCAGTGGGATTGCATAAACAAATGCGCTCAAAACGGGTTAAAAGAAGGGAAAGCGATTTATTGCCAATCAAAGAAGAGATCCAGCAATTAAGCTGAAGGTATCTGAACAATTCTGCTGTAGAGAGGCATTTGTGTTTGCAGAGATAGGACAAGTAACAAATCGTAGAGTTGGGAGACAAAATATTGTAAACAGAGCGAAAGCCAGCTTGCAACCAGCAATGAAAAGCCTTTGTTTCCTGGAATCCTGGTGGAAAAGGTTGAGAAGTGATAGGTAACAGCAGAGCATAAGGAGACATAAGTTGACTGGAGTACTTAAAGGAATCCCAGATTTTCAAATTATGGGTTCATAAGGGGAGGCCTATGGTGAGGCGAGAGCCAAGGCAAGGCTTGAGGTGTGGAAGGAGAACAATCAACAAGCTCTTTCAAAGTCCAAAGAGGAGCATGTAGCTCTAGGTGCAAAGAGATCAGCAGTAGAATTTAGGAAGCACATAATAATAAGCAATTATAGGGAGACCAATCCCTCCTTCCATCCTATGTCTATACAGAGTGGAATGAGAGACACAAGGTTTAATAGAGTGCCAGACGAAAGCATTAATACTTCTCTGCAGGCATCTAAGGGCATAGGATGGTATGTACACAGGGAGGGTCCACAAATAATAACAATTTAGGCAGCAGAGTAATCTTTACTGTGGAAATGTGGAAATCCTACCAAACCACGAAAGACCATGAGACGACCAAGAGCTGAGCAGCGCTTTAAGAGACCAAAACAGGGGAATACAACTAACGTTATAGAGGGAGTCATAAGAGGACATAAGACTAATGCCAAGATAGCAAATGGAAGATCTGGCCCAGTGAAAAGTTGCGTTGCAAGTCAGCGAGAGAACTGCTGAGCATAGACACAATGAGGGCTTAGGACTTATTCCCCTTAACCACTAACCCCGAGATAGAGGAAAAGGTATCGAGTAAATGTAAAACGTTAGGGACCGAGACATGCGGTTGTGTAACAGTCAGTAGTAGATCATCGGTAAAGAGGTTTATTTTATACACTACACTTGCTAACTGTAGAGTATGGATGGCAGTTTTATTGCGGATCATATATATAAAAGGTTTGATCGCAAGGGCAAAAAGAACGGGATAAAGGGCACCCCTATCAAGTGCCCCTGGCAATCAGAAAGGGCGTGAAGCAGAGTCCGAGGTAGAGAGCATGTGCAGTTGGAAATGCGTATAGGGCTGAAATCCAGCTTAAGAAAGGCAATCCGAAGCCCCATCTAGATAGGACATACCACAGGTAATCCCAAGAAATGGAATCATAGGCTCTCTGGAGATCCAGAAAAAGTAGGAAGCCAGGGATTTGCATAAAATTCATAACATGAATTAAATGGATAATTTTGCGTACAATGTTGGCTGCTTGCCTCTAGGGCACAAATCCCACCTGGTCCCTATGGATAAGCGACGGAAGAAAGGTATTAATTCTAGAGGCCAGAATCTTGGCAAGAATTTTACTATCAACATTAAGCCGTGATATAGGTCTGTTCAAGCCCTGTACATTATGTGATATTACCAACAAACGCCCGGCCATGGCACCCAGTAGTAGGAAACCGTGCAAACTTCAAAAACAGGTTCAGGAGGCAGACGGTGGACTCAAAACGTACAAGAAGGACAGTAGTACAATAATGAAGAACACCAGCTTCCCCACTTCTTATATGCATGGGGGGTAGCCAACACACAGGGCACACAAAAAAGTGCATGTTATAGTAATAAGAAAGGTGGAAACTGGAAAGGGCAGAAAAAAAATGCCTGTAGCCCTAGTGGGTGGGGCAGGGAAAAAGGGGGGGGGGGGTAAAGGGTCAAGGGAAATTCTCTGAACCAAAATAAAGCATGATAAGTAAGGAGTGGGCAACCTAGAGATATATACAACCTCAATACACAAATAAATGCCCGTGATAATAAACTGACTGCCTATGATGATGCAAAGGTAAACATTTAAGGCACACATCGGTTGTAACAGTAACAGAATGAAATAAGAACTAAATAACAGGGCAGGGATCCCACCAAAACTACAAATGGGGTTTCCACTCTGTAAAGCTACAAAAAAGTAAAATATGGAGTTACAGCACTTTACAGACAACAGGTATGTGCAATAGACACAACCCAAAACTGGGAAGTAGAAAATGAACAAGGTGGAACCTTAAAAGAGCTCACAACAACTGAACTTTCAAGTCCAAATGAACCACTGCTCAAGTAGAAAAGGTCCCATAGTCAAAGCGGTCCTAAACAGCAAGTCCATCCTGCAGATGGGTTCGGGCACATCCCTGAAGCGAGCGAAGATCATCATCAACAGGTCAAGGATGCAGATGACGAAAGTTCCTTATCCTGTAAAACCAGAACCACATCATCCATTTTGTGTTCCAGCAGATCTGTACGGGAGCCGAGCTCCCTGATTTCCCTTGTGAGATGAGCAGTCAAACGGTCAGTGGCAGCTGTCAGCTCTATCTGTAATATAGAACGGAATTTTTCCAGCAGAGCACTGTCCCGGGATCAGCTTTCCAATGTGCAGGTGAGGAGGGCATGTAGGGCTGCAACAACTAATCGACATAATCGATTATTGAAAAAGTTGTCAACTTTTTCAATACATGCTATCCACAGTGGAGGAGTCCTGAGCTTCAGCAAAGGACGGGGAAGATGGAGGATCTGAGGATGCACGTGGCGGCAGCACCATATTGGAGTCGTGGAAGTTTGCAGAGGGAGGCCTCCTGGTCTAATCTTAGCTTTTAGAAGAAATCATGGTTCCCAGGGTGCAGAGGGTGAGTAGAAGGGGAAGACAGGCGGAGGAGGAAAGAGGCAAATGGTCGCTAATGAGCGCTCATAGGTATCCCGTGCTGCGACTCTGCTCAGACCACGGCCATCTTGCTCGGCTGCTCGCGAGTGCCCCACTAGACATCCATTTCTGATCTTTCTTTTGGCGGTCACTCAGGTCAGACTCTTCATCTGGACATTCCAGCAAATGTTCCAGGCGCACTTCACCTCTGCACATGGGACACTGTGCATTTGACTGTAGGGGAAAATGCAGGTTGAAGATTGAAAGTGTTTTACTGGCTCATTATTTAATAGGAGAAATGAAAAAGTCTTACCTGTGTTCTGTAAATAACCTGACAAATGCACTCTTTACAAAAGACATGTGCACAGCGGGTTATAACTGGCATGTTCAGAGAGTCTAGACATATAGAACATTCTTCATCTGAGCCTGAGCTTAGCACCAGCTTTATTTTGTTCACCAACTTCTCTTGTAATTCATCTCTGGTTGAACTGGCTGAAAATGTACACGTAAATAGACACACATTAGGTTTTAGTGATCATCCTTTTGACACCTCTTAAGGTAGCAGGGCACCTCAGACTCAACCTCTTCTTGGAGGATTCCAAGTAAAGCACCAGGCCATCTAGGTGGGTATGAAATCTAACCAGAGTGCCCTCGACTGCCTCTGGGATTCCACACAGCTGGGTTACCTGAGACATTCCCAGGCCATCTAGGTGGGTATGAAATCTAATCAGAGTGCCTGGAGGCTGCCTCCGGGATTCCACACAGCTGGGATGCCTGCGACATTCCCAGGCTATCATGGTGGGTAGGAAATATTACCAGTGTGCCCTGGGACTGCCTTTAGGATGCCATGCAGCTGAGTTAGCAAAAGACATTCCCAAGCCATCTAGGGGGATATTAAATTACAGCAGTGAGCACTGTGACTGCCCACAGGGATTCCACACAGCTAGGTTGCCTGAGACATTCCCAGGCTACCTAGGCAAGTATGAAACCTGTGGTCATGAGATCTCAGGGAAAGGCATTTTCCTCCACCGAGATGATGTACATGGTCACATGTCCTAGTCAAATGTGCCAGAGTTACAGGAAGTAAAGAGAGAGCTAGTAACCTGCTCTTAGTAAACATGGCCACTGTCAGAAGACTGGGGAAGAAAAGAGAAATAAGGTATGCAAAGAATACAAAGCCTGCAATTATCTATTAGTATGTGTTTGTAGATTATGATTACTAAACATTTCTAAAAGGTGTGTTTTGTTATTTTACTGATATGAGTAAAGTTCCTCTTTAAGGCACACCAAACTACAGTTGAAGTCAGTTAAATGGAATTAATGTAAACACAATGAAAATATCCCTAAAATGCAACTCAACTTACCATATCAAAAAAGTAAACACTGAAGCATTGCAACTACTGCACCTTCTTCACTACTTTAACCCCTTAATGAGCAAGGCCTTTTTTTCGTTTTTTGCACCCCCCCCACACCATTATATATTTTCTGAAAGCCAAGAGCCTGTAGAATAAAATGGTGGCAGTTGCAAATTTTTATGTTGCACAATATTAGCGCAATGTAATATCAAACCCAAACATTTAGTGAAAAATGCACTTAAGTTAAATGTAGTGCCCCAAAACACAATAAAATACCAATTTCTGTATAGAATATAATAGAGGTGATTACAACGAGTAAACAGATACCCAACATGCCCAGGTTGAAAATGTTATGCTTCTGTGAAACAATGACAAGATTCAGTAGCCCTAAAAGTTTATTGACAACGCTTTAAAGGCTCCTACAGGTCATCAGTTTTGATATACGCATAACTATTGGCCCTAGAATTATTGCTCTCACTCTTGGGTGCGTGGTGATACCCACATGTGTAGCGCGATCCTCGTTTTGGTATGTAGGCACACCTGAGGCATGTTTACATTATGAAGCGTGTGCCCAGCTTCCCACTGACACCCAAGATGCCAATCCCGGGCCCGTAGGTGTTGGGTGTCGGGGCGGCCCGTTTGTCCAAAGAAGCGATTTGGCGACAGCCGAGTCACCGGAATCGCTTCTATTGTAAAGCCAACACCGGGAGTCTATTTAAACGGGCCTAGTGCCAGTGACGTACTATGGACATCACTGGTCACTAAGGGGTTAAAACTCTAGAGGCAGTCAGTCAGATACAGGGTCCAGCAAGTCTGGAGCAGTAATTATCCTTCCTTAGGTTGGCAAGTAACTGATTTATGCTTGTTCCGAGTCAGTGACTTACAACATAATGAATTAAGGATGAAGAATGAATCCTGGAGAACTAAAATGTAACATTTCAGGCTAGACAGGTTTCTTCTAAGAAACCAGGGAAACAAAATATCATATATGTGTTCTAGATCAGCCTTTCTGTAACAGGGTACCGTGGCAGACTGGTGCGTCTCCTGGCCTGGTTAGAAGGGCCTCAAAATGTTGTGCTAGTGGGACTACTATGTGAAAGGGCTCCTGATGTAAAGGGAAATCTGATGTTAAAGGGTGGACTCTGATATGAAAGTGGGGCTTTTGATGCGTGAGAAAGCACTCCTCTTTATACGGGAAACAGCGATAGACTCCTCCTCCTTGACATGTTTCATCTTGTGACTTTTCCACTCACATCCCTTTTGAAAAAGTCACAAGACGAAATATGTCAAGGAGGAAGAGTCTATCGCCGAGCATACTGCTTGTAAGTGCATTTTTTATTTTAATAAAACCACTTTTTTTTAACATACTGCGCAACGGAAATCCTTCTTTTTTGTTTCCTCTGAATTCCTGCGGGAGGATATCACTGAGTATAAAGAAGAGATTAATAGCAAAAAAAATCGGTGGTAAGGAGATTGGACCCCGCGAGAGGTGCCCATAGACGAACAGAGGAGAAGAGAGGAATCAGATAGAGGAAGCTGCTCATGATCTACATCTGACTATGAAAGCAAGATCTAGCAGATATCTGGCAAGCTATCTAGCGTCAATCTAGATGACTGCGGCCGGTAAACGGAGATGTGACTGGAGGCAGCCATGTTATATAGTCGGGGCAGAATTATCCTGGGTTAAAGTGACATTAACCGCTTGAAGACCAGGTGTTTAGACCCCCTTCCTGGCCAGGCCATTTTTCAGTATTCAGCGCTGCGGTACTTTGACTGACATTTATTCTGTCATGCAAGACTGTACTGAAATTAATTTCATACCATTTTTTTGGGGACAGATAGAGCTTTCTTTTGGTGGTATTTAATCATATTTTTTTACTATAATTAGGAAAAATTACTGAAAATTTTGAAAAAAAACGTTTTTTTTTACATTATGTTAGGAAACATTTATTATTACCCAGTTTTTTGGTAAAATATAAAAGACGGGGTCACGTCGGGTAAATAGACACCAAACATGTCAAGCTTTAAAATTGCCGCTTGCTATTTCGATAAGGGAAAACCCTGACATTAAAAGGAGTATCCTCCAAGACAAAGTGGAGCAGTTTGAACTTACCTGGGAACCTTGGGTGGCATATGTAAATCCTGTAGGAGCCTGAGAGGAAGGGAGCGAGGGCGGGCCTAAGCCCACCCCGACCAGAACATTTTAAGATGTTCAAAATTAAAATTTATTGTAATAGTTGTTTTTCGGCCACATTGTTTTTTGTTGTGTCTTTGTCCCGTAGCTCTTGTAGGGCTGTCTTATGTTGACAGGCTGTTTTATAATATACTATAATAGGGATTATCTAGCAATTTGGTCTCGACTGTTCTTATATACTCTCCTGGCAGGATAAAGGGATGTCCGACAATATTCTTGGTTTTCAACCCCCTGTTGAGTAACTACTACACCTCAAGATAAGGAGGTGTGACGTAGGTATATTTATAGGGGGAAAATATGAACAGCTCCTTTACTGCTGGAGTTTGGAGCGGAAAGCTGGACATGGGGCCAGCTCTAGCTGAAGTAAAAAGCGCTAAGTGTATGCTATCAGTCGAGACCAGATACTATTTAATGTGTAACCAATAGAGATGGAATAATAAGGTATCCCTTTTAGATGAAGACTGTCCTATTACATTGTTTTATGTTGTAGATGTTTTGTTGTATATGTCTGGATGAAAACAATAAAAACTTTTGAAAGTAAAAAATTGCGCGCACACACGACATCGCAGAAAACTACCATACACAAAATTGGCCATAGGCGACGCTTTAAAAGCTTTTACGGCTAATCAGTTTAGTGTTATCAGTGATTGGTGGCCCTTGAATTATTGCTCTCACTGTGACGTTCGCGGCGATATGTAACATGTGCGGCGTAATGGGCTCAATCGTCTTTTTTGGCACGTATGCGCCCCCGACGCATGTTTGCATGCGTGTATGTATGGGTGGGGACTTGTAAAAAAAATTGTTTTTTATGTGTAACTTTACATTTTGGGGGGGGCTTTCATTTTTTTTCCTATTTAAACCCCCCTATGTGATAGCAAAATATGGGACAGGCCCTCTTTATGGAGACATCAGGGGTCTCCAAGATATCACCTAGGACCCCCCAAAAGAAACTGATGAAGCACAGATCTGCTCCATCAGCTTCTGAAGCTGGAGAGTGACACAAGAATGCGGAAGGGATGTAATATACAACACTTCCGCATTCTTGCAGCGGAGAGGGGACCGGAGGGAGCTCGTGTACCGATCTCCCTCTGATCCCGTGACACAGGCACCATGCTGATCCCGGGCTCAGTGGAGTCCGGGACTAGCGGGACAACGGCGCGGGGGACGACCGCGGAGGGGGACACCAATCGTTACCCCATACAGGCGATGGGGTATGTTACAGGCATTGCTGCCTGTTTTTAAATATCTGGCATTTCCCGCTCACGCGCGCCCAGCTGCGCGCGCGAGGGGGCGTGTCTGAGCAGACGTCTAAAGACGGTGTCCAGCGGTGTCTGCATGCGGGTGCATGCGTCCATAGACTTACCTTGTGTCTCTGCTAATCTCCCGGCCGAGAATCCGAACTGCGCAT